TCAAGTGTACTACAAGTGCTGACTAAATACAGTTTAAATACAGAGATAGTGTGTTAAAAGCGCATTTTAGTTCATATTCATGGTCACAAAATAGCACAGTTAGATGATCTTAAGTTTATCTTAAAAAGTACTAAAGAATAATTTTTAGTGTATTAAGAACAGCATTAGTGTGTGAGAACAGAGCACTTTCAGTACATGAAGGAAGAGGTTTTCACCGGGGGATGCTGCGAGACTGGTTACTAGCGTGGGTCAGGGCCTTGAGCTCGTGGGCTGGTGGTCAAAGCGTGGGAGCGGCCCCAGTCTGTGAGAATGCAGTGGATGACGGGCTCCAGCAGCGGCTCTGGCCAGCAGAGGGCCCCAGGGGCCGGATCGGGCCCTGTCCTGCTGTAAGCATCGAAGCTGCTGGCCAGAGAGCAGATCTGCCGGGCCAGCGTCCCGATCTCCGCCTGCTCCGTCTCGCTGTACAGCAAGGGCCCCTCAGCAGGGGGCGAGGGCTCCGGCGTCACAAACACACCGAAGTCCTCCAGAGCCTCGCAGGTGCCGTACACCGGGACCAGGTGAGCGTCAGCCGGACAGAGCGCAGGAGAGAACAGGTCAGAGATCGGGTCAGAGGACGGCTGAGGTGGACAGAGTGCGCCGGACCCCTCGGACAGGAAGTCAGAGGAGCAGTGGGAGGAATTGGGGCTGTAGGGCGGGGTGCAGAAGAAGAGCGGCAGCGAGTCAGCGCTGGTCTCTGAGCTCCTCCGGAGCTGATCGCAGTCTCTCGGGACACAAGCCGGCTGAGACGTCTGCGCAGCGCTGTACAGTTTGTCTCGGAGATAGACGGCCTCCGCTTCACTGCAGACGAGAGACCGTGAGAAAATCAGAAGAGTTGGGAATCGAAAATCAATTCCAATTCCAGATTAAGATACTTAAGGTCAGGAATCAAATAATTGCTGTAAATTAAAATTTCAATTCCACCTATCAATGTTGCATCTTTGTGTTTAGCTGGTGAAAAGGGGCTGTTAAAATGTATTTGGCTTTGATTCATTCATTCAAGAGATTCGTTCAAAAATGCAGATTCATCCAGTAATGAAACAAGTACATCTTGAGTGAGTCATTGATTCATTCATTCATAAATTACATGTGATTTTGTTCGGTTGTCTAATGTTTTCTCTTCAGAATTGTGAGAGAACTACAATCTTCATTAAAAGAATCATGCCGCTCTATTTTGCACACAAGCAGCTCTTAATCGAGTCAGTTTTGATGCAGCCGGCTGATTTTTGTTCATGGTGTTCAGCAGCAACTAAATGTTTTGCAAAAAGAGACACAGAATAAATATGTTTGATATCTAAATGTTTGACTTTTTTTTAACCACATTGGAATCGATAAGAATCAGAATCAGAATTGATCAAATTCAAACGAATCAAAACATTCAGCCACACATTGCACACGCTGTTAGAGTGAGAGATCAGTCGCTGCTGTGGAGAAAGATCAGATGTTCACCTGACGGCGAGGTTTGTGCAGACGATCACGTCTCTGGCTCGGTCCAGAGTCGCACGGACGTACAGCCAGATCCACGACTGATCGTGCCGCTGCAGTCGGACCAGCATCTCTGCACTCGCACCGCCATCAGCTCCAGCTGCCAAACCAGACACGCGTGTCAGTAAAGCTGCATGTTCCCAACACACTCATCACTTCACAGTCATCTGCACTACTGCTCACACGTCTGCGGTCAGTAGCATTCTTAAAGTCTCTTCTGCTTATCAAGGCTGCATTTATTTGATCAAGAATGTAGTAAAAACAGTGAAATATTAAACAGCTGTTTTCTAAGTGAATCTCTGTTAAACTGTAATGTATTTCTGTGATGCGCAGCTGTATTTTCAGCATCATTCCTCCAGTCTTCAGTGTCACATGATCTTCAGAAATCAGTATAATATGCTGATCTGCTGCTCGAGAAACATTTCTGATTATTATCAATGTTGAAAACAGTTCTGCTGCACAATATTTCTGTGGAAACCGTGATGCATTTTATTTTTTAGGATTCACAGATGAACAGAAAGTTCAAAAGAACAGCATTTATTTGAAATAGAAATCTTTTGCAACATTATAAACACTGGTGTCAAAAGTATTCACATTCATTACTCAGGTAGAAGTATAGATACTAGGGTTTAAAAAGACTTCTGTAGAAGTTGAAGTATCAACTCAAGCTTTTTACTCAAGTAGTAGTACTGGTTTCAAAACTACTTAAAGTATAAAAGTAAAAGTAATGTAAGGAAAAAAATGCCATTAAGGACAAAAGCTTAGGCCGCGCCACAGGGGCCTATTGTGCACTACCCCACCTCCTCAAAAAAACATTTTTCTAAAGGCCATAATGACTATGTTATATTAAAATGTTAATGTTGAAAAATGTGGGATGCACTAGGCTACCTGTTTCAGCCGCATATATGCCCATTGAAAATGAACGCGTTTTAGTACAAAGCAAATACATTAAAGAACCATATATGTGTACTACTGAGCATTAAAAAAGATATGATGACTAGTTGCTTATAAGTATTGTAATGGTGCAAAAAGTCAAACTTCAGAGGCATGTCATCAATAACCTTTATTGGAATGTAAATGTACATCCAAGCTTAGCTGCAGGAATCTGTGAGGGCAACGGACAAGAAAACTGGTGTACCCAGGGCAGGCTTAGTAACAATTACCCTTGTATGGTTGTCTATATACAATAAACATTAGTGCTGTCAAAATGAATGATTAATCCAAGTGATTAATCAACAAATAAAAATTAAAAATAACTCATAATCCTGATACCTTCCCGGTATGTACTATGCTCAATTCTATAGCTAATGGCAACAATGTCACATTTAACTAGAAGATGCGTTGTCAATCGCAAACGCTAATTTATTCAAACGTCTCTCTGCCGAACTACCGACTGTAGTTTAATTTGCGGAGGATGAAGAGAAAGCACCCGTTTGATAAATGAGCCAGTAGTGGCGAAATTATAACTTTTAAGAAATAATCTTTTTTGAGTAACGACCCCAACACTGGCTATGTCCTTGCTGGAGTGTGAGGTGATTTGTGTCATGTGCAGGTGCGATGGATCGTGTACAAACCAATAGGGTGTCGGAATGGTATATGTTTATACTTCTCATCCAACCACAGTCAAATTCACTCTATCCGGATGGCACGATTTATCTGGATAGGTTTTTTTTAACGATGACAAGCCGGAATGAAATAGGAGTAACGAGGGTATTTTTAAAATGTAAGGAGTAGAAAGTACAGATAATTGCGTGAAAATGTAAGGAGTAGAAGTAAAAAGTCGGCTGAAAAATAATTACTCCAATAAAGTATAGATACCCAAAATTTCTACTTAAGTAAGGTAACGAAGTATTTGTACTTCGTTACTTGACACCTCTGATTATAAATGTCTTCACTGTCACTTTTGATTAATTTACTGCATCCTTGATGAACAAAAGCCTCATGTTTGCGTCTGCACAGATAGTTTGAGTGGACTCACTGAGTGTGCGATGGCAGCCGGCGGCGAGCGCCAGATCATCCGGATGCAGGAGTTCATACCACGATCGACCGATCAGCTCCTCTGCTGAGAAACCCAGGTGGAACAAGACGCTGTGGAAACATATTTCAACACAATCAACAACCATATCATTCATTACAAAACACTCACATCTTGTCCTCCTCTCAAACCAGTACTCTCTAAAAGAAATGCACATTACTGGTAGATCAGCACAGCTTTGTGATGTGACGTGAGCACCTGCAGGGGGCGTGCTGGAGCCTCATGTCCGATCTGTGGAGCGTCTGGAAGCAGGAGGAGGCCCTCAGGAGCTCGCTGTCCTTCACTCTGTCGACTGTGGGTGAGCAGAGGGCCACAAACAGAGCGGCGTCCAGCGGGCCGGCCTGGAATCGGCCCCTCACCAGCATGGAGCAGCCGGCGGCGTTCTGGAGCCGGAGCGCTCTGGAGCTGTGCATGCGGCACACGAAGCTGCGCTCTGAGAGACAGACATGACGTCAGACCTGATCTGGACATCACACAAAACACAGAAGCAAGCGCTCACCTGCTGAGACGTCCTGCTCTCTCAAAATCACTCTCACCGCTTCTGCGTCACGACCGTCCGTCATATCATAGAACGAGTCTCCCTGAAGCACATCCACCTACAGAGCAACACAACACACTAGTGCTCAAAAACTGAGCACAACCTTTGACCCACGCTGGTTTCCAAGCAGTCTACAGAAATCAACACTACACTCAGAAAGAGCTGCAAAAGCACATTAGTGACCCTGGAGCACAAAACTAGTCATAAGGGTCAATTTTGAGATTGAGATTTATGCATCATCTGAAAACTGAATATATAAGCTTTCCATTGATGTATGAACATGATCTTTACTTAATATCCTAATGATTTTTGGCATAAAAGAGAAATGTATAATTGTGACCCATACAATGTATTGTTGGCTATTGCTACAAATATCCCCCAGCGACTCAACACTGCTTTTGTGCTCCAGGGTCACATCTTTACCCTGTTTATGCTGCATTTTAGTATCTTTTGAAAAGTTGCCGTCCCGGTGTCATATTTTGTAAATTTTTTCTGAGAGTGTATGTAAAACACTAAAGATTCATGTACAAACAGAAAACCTTTATTGTAGTTTGTCAGGGACTTAAAATATAAAATGTGAGGAGTTTAATAATTCTTTTAAACAATCTATTTTTGTTGTCATTTTTGTTGAAACTCTCATGTATTTCATATTTTAGTGTCTGACGAGGTACAATAAAGGTTTACTGTTTTTTGACTCTGATTTTTGGGAAATTGCGTGGGAACAAAGAGGGTGAGTTTGACCCCAACACAAACGTCGTAACAAAACATGTACAGTCTTTCCAAAACACATCTGGGTCTCAAAACTTTGCATGACCCTTAACGAGAAATATTCAAGAAGAAATAAATAGTTTACCCAGTTTTTCAAGCATGGGTCAAATTGATCATAATCATCCCTGACTGAAAGGATAAATGTGTGTGCATGTGAAGCACAAGGGAACAGACCGTTCTCTCACCATGGACAGGCCGAGATACTCCTGCACGTTTTCAGACACGTAGACCAGCTTTCCGTCTCTGCTCAAAGCCACAATAAATCCAGGCAGCGCTTGCAGAAAGCTGTGGTACAGAGACGCTGGGTCCTTGTGAACGCACGGATCCAGACCGCATGCAGACCCTGAGAGGAGCGCGCTCTTCCGGACGAAGCTGCAGACAAGAGACATGGAGTGCAGGTAGGACAGACGCTCCTGGTCCTCAGCGGAGATGGGCAGAAGTGACCGCAGGGTCCGGATCTCTGCGTTGATGTGGTCTCGCCGGGCTTTGGACGCTCCTTTAGTAGACCTGCATCCGAGCATGAGGACAGAGAGAGACGGTCAGATGCTACCAGAACCCAGACGATAAAACATGCAGACCAGCACTGGCTGCTCTAATAACCTCATAGATTTCACCATTTATTATTAAAGATGATCTCTAATAGTTTGTGTGTAAGTTAGGATGGATGACACTGAGCCTGTGAGAGATACACACTTTTACAGAATATGAGAAACTTCTTATAAAGGGAGTCCTGGATGGAGCTCTTCACACACACACACACACACACACACTCATACACACGTACACACACTCATACACACACACACAGACAGACACAGACTCACACGCACACACACTCACACACACACACAGACTCACACACACAGACTCACACACACAGACTCACACACTCACACACACTCGCACACACAGACAGACACAGACTCACACACACACTCTCACACACGCACACACAGACTCACACACACACGCACACACAGACTCACACACACAGACAGACACAGACTCACACACACACTCTCACACACGCACACACAGACTCACACACACACACACACACACACACACGCACACACACACACACACACACACACACGCACACACACACACACACACACACACACGCACACACACACACACACACACACACACGCACACACACACACACACACACACACACGCACACACACACACACACACACACACACGCACACACACACACACACACACACACACGCACACACACACACACACACACACACACACACGTACACACAGATTCACACACACAGACAGACACAGACAGACACAGACTCACACACACACACACACACCACACACACACCTATAGCTCAGTGTCTCTGTCAGTACAGTAAACACTAAACTAGCATGCAGAGCAGCACAGTTTCATTAGGATGTATTAATATGAAGGCATCATAAGGCTGCGCTTACTGACCTGACGCGTTTCGACGCGCGCAGAATCCGCCTGACGCTCGCGTCGCAGCTCATCCTCGCACAGATCTGAGAAAACACGAGTCCAGGTTACACAGATGAAAACATCTCCAGTAACATGCAAAGATGACAGGGGTTAGGTTAGTTTAGGTTAGGCAGCGCTGGTTGAGCTGCTCGCTTCACCTCTGATGTGTGTGTGTGTGTGTGTGTGTGTGTCTCGTCGCTTATATACTCTCAAGGAGCTCAACCTGAGCGCTGCAGGAGAAACCCCCCGCCGTGACGACACGAGGAGCGACCCGATATTTATAGAGCTGGAGTGTAAAAATACCTGCAGTGACATCATCACAACACACACACACACGCACTCTCACACACACACACACACACGCACGCACACTCACACACACACACACACTCTCACACACACGCACTCTCACACACACACACACACTCTCACACAC